CAGAAAAACCCTAAAACATCTTAAGATGGTTTATTTCACCACCTTATATTGTTGGTTGACCTTAGAAGCCACTACTGTGAACATACCATACCAAAAACATACAAAGAACCAACTTTAACTCTCTAAACCGGATGGGGGCAATTTTGCCAAACGGGGGCGAAAACCGCCACAAATTTCAGAAAAACCCTTAAACGTCTTAAGATGGTTTATTTCACCACCTTATATTGTTGGTTGACCTTAGGAGCAACTACTGTGAACATACCATACCAAAAACATACACAGAACCACTCTAAACCGGATGGGGGCAATTTTGCCAAACGGGGGCGAAAACCGCCACAAATTTCAGAAAAACCCTAAAACATCTTAAGATGGTTTATTTCACCACCTTATATTGTTGGTTGACCTTAGGAGCAACTACTGTGAACATACCATACCAAAAACATACACAGAACCACTCTAAACCGGATGGGGGCAATTTTGCCAAACGGGGGCGAAAACCGCCACAAATTTCAGAAAAACCCTAAAACGTCTTAAGATGGTTTATTTCACCACCTTATATTGTTGGTTGACCTTAGAAGCCACTACTGTGAACATACCATACCAAAAACATACACAGAACCACTCTAAACCGGATGGGGGCAATTTTGCCAAACGGGGGCGAAAACCGCCACAAATTTCAGAATAACCCTAAAACATCTTAAGATGGTTTATTTCACCACCTTATATTGTTGGTTGACCTTAGGAGCAACTACTGTGAACATACCATACCAAAAACATACACAGAACCACTCTAAACCGGATGGGGGCAATTTTGCCAAACGGGGGCGAAAACCGCCACAAATTTCAGAAAAACCCTAAAACGTCTTAAGATCGTTTATTTCACCACCTTATATTGTTGGTTGACCTTAGGAGCCACTACTGTGAACATACCATACCAAAAACATACACAGAACCAATCTAAACCGGATGGGGAAAATTTTGCCAAACGGGGGCGAAAACCGCCACAAATTTCAGAAAAACCCTAAAACATCTTAAGATGGTTTATTTCACCACCTTATATTGTTGGTTGACCTTAGGAGCAACTACTGTGAACATACCATACCAAAAACATACACAGAACCACTCTAAACTGGATGGGGGGCACCTTATATTGTTGGTTGACCTTAGGAGCAACTACTGTGAACATACCATACCAAAAACATACACAGAACCACTCTAAACCGGATGGGGGCAATTTTGCCAAACGGGGGCGAAAACCGCCACAAATTTCAGAAAAACCCTAAAACGTCTTAAGATGGTTTATTTAACCACCTTATATTGTTGGTTGACCTTAGGAGCAACTACTGTGAACATACCACACCAAAAACATACACAGAACCACTCTAAACCGGATCGGGGCAATTTTTCCAAATGGGGGCGAAAACCGCCACAAATTTCAGAAAAACCCTAAAACGTCTTAAGATCGTTTATTTCACCACCTTATATTGTTGGTTGACCTTAGGAGCCACTACTGTGAACATACCATACCAAAAACATACACAGAACCAACTTTAACTCTCTAAACCGGATGGGGGCAATTTTGCCAAACGGGGGCGAAAACCGCCACAAATTTCAGAAAAACCCTTAAACGTCTTAAGATGGTTTATTTCACCACCTTATATTGTTGGTTGACCTTAGGAGCAACTACTGTGAACATACCATACCAAAAACATACACAGAACCACTCTAAACCGGATGGGGGCAATTTTGCCAAACGGGGGCGAAAACCGCCACAAATTTCAGAAAAACCCTAAAACATCTTAAGATGGTTTATTTCACCACCTTATATTGTTGGTTGACCTTAGGAGCAACTACTGTGAACATACCATACCAAAAACATACACAGAACCACTCTAAACCGGATGGGGGCAATTTTGCCAAACGGGGGCGAAAACCGCCACAAATTTCAGAAAAAACCCTAAAACGTCTTAAGATCGTTTATTTCACCACCTTATATTGTTGGTTGACCTTAGGAGCCACTACTGTGAACATACCATACCAAAAACATACACAGAACCACTCTAAACCGGCCGGTACCGGATGGGGGCAATTTTGCCAAACGGGGGCGAAAACCGCCACAAATTTCAGAAAAACCCTTAAACGTCTTAAGATGGTTTATTTCACCACCTTATATTGTTGGTTGACCTTAGGAGCCACAACTGTGAACATACCATACCAAAAACATACACAGAACCACTCTAAACCGGCCGGTACCGGATGGGGGCAATTTTTCCAAATGGGGGCGAAAACCGCCACAAATTTCAGAATAACCCTAAAACGTCTTAAGATCGTTTATTTCACCACCTTATATTGTTGGTTGACCTTAGGAGCAATTACTGTGAACACACCACACCAAAAACATACACAGAACCACTCTAAACCGGATGGGGGCAATTTTGCCAAACGGGGGCGAAAACCGCCACAAATTTCAGAAAAACCCTAAAACATCTTAAGATGGTTTATTTCACCACCTTATATTGTTGGTTGACCTTAGGAGCAACTACTGTGAACATACCATACCAAAAACATACACAGAACCACTCTAAACCGGATGGGGGCAATTTTGCCAAACGGGGGCGAAAACCGCCACAAATTTCAGAAAAACCCTAAAACATCTTAAGATGGTTTATTTCACCACCTTATATTGTTGGTTGACCTTAGGAGCAACTACTGTGAACATACCATACCAAAAACATACACAGAACCACTCTAAACCGGATGGGGGCAATTTTGCCAAACGGGGGCGAAAACCGCCACAAATTTCAGAAAAACCCTAAAACGTCTTAAGATCGTTTATTTCACCACCTTATATTGTTGGTTGACCTTAGGAGCCACTACTGTGAACATACCATACCAAAAACATACACAGAACCACTCTAAACCGGCCGGTACCGGATGGGGGCAATTTTGCCAAACGGGGGCGAAAACCGCCACAAATTTCAGAAAAACCCTTAAACGTCTTAAGATGGTTTATTTCACCACCTTATATTGTTGGTTGACCTTAGGAGCCACAACTGTGAACATACCATACCAAAAACATACACAGAACCACTCTAAACCGGCCGGTACCGGATGGGGGCAATTTTTCCAAATGGGGGCGAAAACCGCCACAAATTTCAGAATAACCCTAAAACGTCTTAAGATCGTTTATTTCACCACCTTATATTGTTGGTTGACCTTAGGAGCAATTACTGTGAACACACCACACCAAAAACATACACAGAACCACTCTAAACCGGATGGGGGCAATTTTTCCAAATGGGGGCGAAAACCGCCACAAATTTCAGAAAAACCCTAAAACGTCTTAAGATGGTTTATTTTACCACCTTATATTGTTGGTTGACCTTAGGAGCAACTACTGTGAACATACCATACCAAAAACATACACAGAACCACTCTAAACTTGATGGGGGCAATTTTGCCAAACGGGGGCAAAAACCGCCACAAATTTCAGAAAAACCCTAAAACGTCTTAAGATGGTTTATTTCACCACCTTATATTGTTGGTTGACCTTAGGAGCAATTACTGTGAACATACCATACCAAAAAAATACACAGAAACACTCTAAACCGGAAAAATAGGATGGGGGCAAAACCCGCCACAAATGGGGGCAAGAACATGGGGGCCGCCACAAATGCGCCACAAATTTTGAGAAAACATCGCCTCCAGTAGAAAAGAATTTTAAGAGAATGCCACACTTTTTCAGATGCAAAATACTGCAAAAGTTAGCTCCTTTTATTCAGTGAATAAAAACGTGCAGATATGATTACTGATAAGCTATGTGGGGTTGGGGGAGGGGGCTATAAGGGGGTGGCGGTCTGTAAGGGGGAGGGGGCCGGGGCTGTTTTGGGAGGTCTGTAAGGGGGTGGGGTCTGTAAGGAGGAGGGGGCTGTTTTGGGAGTTCTGTAATGGGGTGGGGTCTGTAAGGAGGAGGGGGCTGTTTTGGGAGGTCTGCAAGGGGGTGGGGTCTGTAAGGAGGAGGGGGCTATAAGGGGGTGGGGGTCTGTAAGGAGGAGGGGGCTGTTTTGGGAGTTCTGTAATGGGGTGGGGTCTGTAAGGAGGAGGGGGCTGTTTTGGGAGGTCTGCAAGGGGGTGGGGTCTGTAAGGAGGAGGGGGCTATAAGGGGGTGGGGGTCTGTAAGGAGGAGGGGGCTGTTTTGGGAGTTCTGTAAGGGGGTGGGGTCTGTAAGGAGGAGGGGGCTGTTTTGGGAGGTCTGTAAGGGGGAGGGGGCTGTAAGGAGGAGGGGGCTGTTTTGGGAGGTCTGTAAGGGGGAGGGGGCTGTAAAGCTGTAAGGGGAAGGGGCTGTTTTGGGAGGTCTATAAGGGGAAGGGGGCTGTTTTGGAGGTCTGTGAGGGGAAGGGGGCTGTTGGGGGGGTCTGTAAGGGGGAGGGGGCTGTTGGGGGGGTCTGTAAGGGGGTGGGGGCTGTTTTGGAGGTCTTTAAGGGGGAGGGGGCTGTTTTGGAGGTCTGTAAGGAGGAGGGGGCTGTTTTGGGAGGTCTGTAAGGGGGAGGGGGCTGTAAAGCTGTAAGGGGAAGGGGGCTGTTTTGGAGGTCTGTAAGGGGAAGGGGGCTGTTTTGGAGGTCTGTGAGGGGAAGGGGGCTGTTTTGGAGGTCTGTAAGGGGGAGGGGGCTGTTTTGGAGGTCTGTGAGGGGAAGGGGGCTGTTTTGGAGGTCTGTGAGGTCTGTAAGGAGGAGGGGGCTGTTTTGGGAGGTCTGTAAGGGGGTGGTGTCTGTAAGGAGGAGGGGGCTGTTTTGGGAGGTCTGTAAGGGGGAGGGGGCTGTAAAGCTGTAAGGGGAAGGGGGCTGTTTTGGAGGTCTGTAAGGGGAAGGGGGCTGTTTTGGAGGTCTGTGAGGGGAAGGGGGCTGTTGGGGGGGTCTGTAAGGGGGTGGGGGCTGTAGGAGGAGGGGGCTGTAGGAGGAGGGGGCTGTTGGGGAGGTCTGTGAGGGGAGGGGTGTAGTAACCTGAAAACCATTTCGAAGTAAGGTAGGTAAGAGGGGGAGTGTCCCTCCTTATCCTGGGTAACTGATGTGGAGGTGAGTGTAGAACTGTAGATAGCTTGCTTCAACGTGTCTAAAACCAAGACTAGCACGTCTTTGTACACCTAAAGAAGACAGGTTACAGATTAATGGGTGCAATAACTGACGCTTTTAATCACTCATATATAAATATAATCAGTAAGAGTCAGATTTAAGGTTAAATGAACTGACCCCAGTGTGAGGCAGAATGTCCTCCAGTATCTGGGTTGCGATCCTAGTCTTACGGTTGGAGGGCCGTGTACTACCCTCCCTCATCTCATCTTCCAGCAGTTTTATCTGGTACTGCAAAGAGGGAGACCGTGCACCCAGGACCATCTAGTGCCAGTTTCAAGTTAATTTGGATCAAATTGGAAAGTAGTATTGGATCATCACAATCACACCTGTTATGTATGTGAGGAAGTTTATCAGAAAAGTTACGACGAGGTCACAAATTGTTCGCATTTAATTTGTAGCACCTCGGTCCAAATCATATAATATCATATAATATCATATATTATGCTAGTTCAAACCTTCTGACGCACATTGTTCAAATACCACTATTTGGCTATTTTGTTAAGTTGTATGACGCAAGTGATTAATATAAAATCCGGAATGGAATATTATTTATGAGTCGCATAGTTAAAATGTTTTCTTGGGTAAATTTCTATTGATTCCGTTTGATGCGACAAGGAAAAGGCTCTTATCAGGAAAGGAATTATTCAACGTTTCAATGTGACAACATCGTATTCATGATCTCAATAGAAATTTACCCAAGAAAACAAGCAAGTGATTAAGTTCTGTTTAAATGAGTTTAAAATGTTCAATAGCTCCGATAGTACTTCAATAGCTATACAATTTCCATCAACTCTCAAAATATTAATGTGGCGGTTTAACGAGTATCACATCAGCACTAAGATTTCTGATTTATTGAACTAACCGCAAACTTTTTGAGTACATATGCTTCTGTTTAAATTGTAACCAAATATTATGCACGTTTTTAACAACTTAACAAAATTTATTAAAGAATATATATTCTCTGCACATTTTAAAACTAGCTTGTAAGTACTGCATACTTGCCGGTTAGCAGATCAGTAGTATATACATATAGACATCTTCATAAATGAAGTTGAGGATATTGGCAAACAAAAATAGCGTTTTTGACATAAGTGGCATAATTTTGGCATCTATTAACCGATCATGCAGTTCTGAATATTAGCCACGTGACCCATACTCAAATATGCACCGCTCAGAAAGAAATTTGTTGTTGTTAGGCGCTATAATGTTTAAAATTTCACATTCTTGTGACTTTGTTAGCCCAATTAGCATTCCTTGAATTGAAATATAGTAGATTAGGTCTAGTATCTAAAAATTATACAGTATTGGTTAAAGGGCACGGATCCAACTGTTATAAGGCAACATTTGGTTAACTTTGTCACAATACTCTTTTCTGTGAAGTGTTCTCAACTCATTATTTGATGGTTTTTCTACCGATCATTATCCAAAAGTACGTTTTTGAAATTTTAATTAAAACAGTCACTTAGGAAATATGAGGTTAATTCTGTCACATTATATGGAATTTTGGGTGTATTTCCGAAATAATTTATGTCTGATTTTGGTTTGAAATGCGGGAAAACTCTATATATATGATATAAGTACGATACAGTTGATGTAAACATTGTCACAAAAGTGATAATTTTGCTAAATCACTAAAAATGTGACAATTTTAACTCCATATTACGGGTATCGGCCTTACAAAATGACAGGCCTCACAAAATGACAGCCCACATAGACGATGCTGTAGCTTAGGTTCCCTATACATTGAACCCTATTCCTTTAACTCTATGAAAGAAAAAGCATTAATTAACACTTCCCAAGGAATGATAATGACATAGAATCTATATTTCTTACATAAATATGGACGTTTTTGCTGTTCAGTCATTGCCCCGCCTAACTGTTACCCAGAATGGAGACCAAAGTTTAGAATTTAACCCCAGGAAACCAGGTACTACCATGACTTATGTCAATCAAAGACTACTTTGGTCAAATAAAAGAACTGATTTAGTGACTTTGGTAGAAGAAATGACAAAAAAATGACCTAGCCTCACAAAATGACAGTGTTATGCCTCACAAAATGACAGTTTTATTTTATGATACAAAGATGGCATATATATATTGGATGCCCCTTGCCTAATTATTGGTATTCTTAAAGCCAGTAAGCTTATGATGAGCCTAAATGTGTTTGTTTGATCATCAATTTTGATCAAAATGCCTCACAAAATGACACCGAAAAGCCTTACAAAATGACAATGTTTCAGATTGGATTACTTTCATCATCTAAAATGGATCAGAAACAGTCAATACAAGAAGGAGTTAAAAATAATCATAATCTGACAGTTAACAATCAAGTAGCATTAAAAAAGTGCAGTTCTGATATCAAAACTTTGATTTCAAACTCTTTGATTTCAAACTCTGATCTCAAAACTCAACGAAATAAAGCTTCTATTTTGTGAAAGCAGCGAGTAATAACAACTCCTAAAACATGTCAAACGTTAACTAAACACTGAAAAGTGATCTATCCAGTCATAGAAAATATCAAATATAACCAAATACTGTGTTCAAGTATGAAAACAAAAAATGATTTTTACGCCTCACAAAATGACATTTTTAAAATTTTTTCAAAGTATAAAAAATGTTCCTTTTTTAATATATTCTGGTAAAAACAGAACTGGTATAATATAAACAAAATATATATCTAACAGTAAGACACGTGAAAGAATAATGAAACTTTTTCCCAAATCGGATTTAAAGTGATGCCGTTTTGAGTTGTCATTTTGTAAGGCACTATCTCACGCGAAATTGCCCAACTTTTTTTAATCATCCTTTTTCCAGTAAAAGCTATTCTAATCTTCAATCTATTATATTTATCTAACTGTCCTAGGTGAAATCAAATTTCTATAGGCTGCTGTTAAAAAATGACAGCCGTGACGAAATTATCATTTTGTAAGGCTTGTTTTTTTGGAAGTTTTCAAAGATGACAATTTTTATCGCAAAATTTACGGTTTTTCAATCAAATCAACCCCCGGGAAGAAAAATATACCTGTTGAACTACCTATCTGGATAATAAAACATGAACAAAACTCATTTTTGTGCATTTCAGAGCCATCTCCTTTTTCGTGTCATTTTGTAAGGCCGATACCCGTACTACCACATAATAATTTTTGTTACTGATGGTTATAAAAGTGTTGATTGGTCCATAGTACGTAATATAGGGTCTTTAAGCAAATATATAATATCAATATTTGCTCAATTTCAAACATGTTCACATATCTTCAAGAGTATGTGAAGCAAATTTGTTTCTGCCTTCAGTTTATTAGCTTACAACTATGTAATATGTTAACAATTCCCAACACTTCTAGGTAATCAAATAATGCTAGACTACTCAGCATACCTCATACTTGAACATATTTATTAAAACTGTGGCGGAATTAACCTGGGGGCACCATTTAACGAAAAATATATTATATATATATATATTTCGTCTCTTTTTGTATATAATAGTAAGCCTACAATCTACATTAACATAGATTATAAACCAGTCGCCTGGGTTTGTAAAGCTACATTATACGTTATACGGTCATTACAGACTCATTTATTGATTACAATGTGTGTTGTTGCAATAACTCAGTAATTCATTCATTAATAATAATGTCAAATCTTACTTTCATTTAATCGACAAAGCATGCAATTTCTCTATATATATATATATATATATATTATTTATGAGATTGTCAAGAAGTACTTTCCACAGCAAATCTTAACTCCGCATTGCATCTGACAGCGACAAGTAAAACACTTGACCGCTCTTTTTTGTAAGTAAGAATCTGCAGTGCTGAAGTGCAATATAAGTGCATGTCATGCTCTCTCTCTGATACAACAATAAGCCAGCTGCACGGCCCCTCGCAGCTCTCCAACTTACAGCCTAATTTGATCACTCTTAGTGTGACATCTTCACAAGGTAGCTGTGGAGCATAGTAACAGTATTTATACACACTATATTCTATAACATGTCAATATTATTCAAACTTCATCTCCGAATATTGGGTAGGATTGTGAGAGTGATCAATGTTACATTTCATTAAATGTAAGTAGTAGTACTTGTAATATGGTGTACTTGTACTGAGTCACGTAATGTGGATATTTTTATCAAATAAAATGGCATAACCAAATAACACTTAACAGGCCTACCTCAAATTGGCACCGTCATTTTTTACATTTTTTGACATAATTTCGCCCGATATTTAAATCTACATACCAGGACTCCACAGAGTAGGACTCCACAGAGTAGGACTCCGCAGAGTAGGACTCCGCAGAGTAGGACTCCGCAGAGTAGGACTCCGCAGAGTAGGACTCCGCAGAGTAGGACTCCGCAGAGTAGGACTCCGCAGAGTAGGACTCCACAGAGTAGGACTCCGCAGAGTAGGACTCCGCAGAGTAGGACTCCGCAGAGTAGGACTCCGCAGAGTAGGACTCCGCAGAGTAGGACTCCGCAGAGTGGCACTCCGCAGAGTGGCACTCCGCAGAGTAGGACTCCGCAGAGTAGGACTCCGCAGAGTAGGACTCCGCAGAGTAGGACTCCGCAGAGTAGGACTCCACAGAGTAGGACTCCGCAGAGTAGGACTCCGCAGAGTAGGACTCCGCAGAGTAGGACTCCGCAGAGTAGGACTCCGCAGAGTAGGACTCCGCAGAGTGGCACTCCGCAGAGTGGCACTCCGCAGAGTAGGACTCCGCAGAGTAGGACTCCGCAGAGTAGGACTCCACAGAGTAGGACTCCGCAGAGTAGGACTCCGCAGAGTAGGACTCCGCAGAGTAGGACTCCGCAGAGTAGGACTCCGCAGAGTAGGACTTGGAAAATCTAGCTATACTACATGAATTTTCAAAAGACTAATTAAAGGGTGAGATTATTTGGACCAAACCAACATTATTAATGAGGTGTACAAACTAATACACACTGGAACATTATGATGATAAACTGTAGGCTTATACGAAAACAGTAATACAACAATATAAGACAATGATATTGGAATCCATCATATTACGTTTTATAATTATAACCGGTAAACTCTATAGTTTATAGTTTATAGTTTATAGAGCACGACAATTAATTTACATCATCTCATTAAAATCTGATTAAGCTAAGTCTTCATTCATATTGATGATAATGATAATTCGAGATTTACGCATTATTTCAAAGTGATTCATGTTAGATAACAATAAAGTAAGCAAAACCACATTTTTAATGAATCTTATTTCCCTAAGGATTTTGGTTAGATTCACTCCGTAATAATAATTCGTATTTGCTCCAACGTAAGTAGAGCCAAACAACTGTGCGCAGTAGGTTTATTTAGATATCAAGCATATCATAAGAGTCGTGCAGTAACATGCTTGCTGAATAGGACTAACCCATTTAAAATATTGATTAAAGGATAATAAACTTGTAGACAAGTTAGAAGACAAGTTAGTGGAAAATTTAGAAGACAAGTTAGTAGACAAGTTAGTAGACAAGTTAGTAGACAAGTTTGTAAACAAGTTAGTAGACAAGTTAGAAGACAAGTTAGAAGACAAGTTAGAAGACAAGTTAGAAGACAAGTTAATAGACAAGTTAGAAGACAAGTTAGTAGACAAGTTAGAAGACAAGTTAGTAGACAAGTTAGAAGACAAGTTAGTAGACAAGTTAGTAGACAAGTTAGAAGACAAGTTAGTAGACAAGTTAGTAGACAAGTTTGAAGACAAGTTAGAAGACAAGTTAGTAGACAAGTTAGAAGACAAGTTAGTGGAAAAGTTAGAAGACAAGTTAGAAGACAAGTTAGTAGACAAGTTAGTAGACAAGTTAGTAGACAAGTTTGTAAACAAGTTAGTAGACAAGTTAGAAGACAAGTTAGTAGACAAGTTAGAAGACAAGTTAGAAGACAAGTTAGTAGACAAGTTAGTAGACAAGTTAGTAGATAAGTTAGTAGACAAGTTAGTAGACAAGTTAGTAGACAAGTTAGAAAACAAGTTAGAAGACAAGTTAGAAGACAAGTTAGTAGACAAGTTTGTAAACAAGTTAGTAGACAAGTTAGAAGACAAGTTAGAAGACAAGTTAGTAGACAAGTTAGAAGACAAGTTAGTAGACAAGTTTGAAGACAAGTTAGTAGACAAGTTAGAAGACAAGTTAGAAGACAAGTTAGTAGACAAGTTTGTAGACAAGTTAGGATACAAGTTAGTAGACAAGTTTGTAAACAAGTTAGTAGACAAGTTGGAAGACAAGTTAGTAGACAAGTTTGTAAACAAGTTAGTGGACAAGTTAGTGGACAAGTTAGAAGACAAGTTTGAAGACAAGTTAGAAGACAAGTTAATAGACAAGTTAGAAGACAAGTTAGTAGCTAGGTAGACAAGTTTGTAAACAAGTTAGTGGACAAGTTAGTGGACAAGTTAGAAGACAAGTTAGAAGACAAGTTAGAAGACAAGATAATAGACAAGTTAGAAGACAAGTTAGTAGACAAGTTAGTAGACAAGTTAGTAGACAAGTTTGAAGACAAGTTAGTAGACAAGTTAGTAGACAAGTTAGTAGACAAGTTAGAAGACAAGTTAGAAGACAAGTTAGTAGACAAGTTAGTAGACAAGTTAGAAGACAAATTAGTAGACGAGTTAGAAGACAAGTTAGTAGACAAGTTAGAAGACAAGTTAAAAGACAAGTTAGTAGACAAGTTAGTAGACAAGGTAGTAGACAAGTTAGTAGACAAGTTAGTAGACAAGTTAGTGGACAAGTTAGTGGACAAGTTAGTAGACAAGTTAGTAGACAAGTTAGAAGACAAATTAGAAGACAAGTTAGGATACAAGTTAGTAGACAAGTTAGAAGACAAGTTAGTAGACAATTTAGTAGACAAGTTAGAAGACAAATTAGTAGACAAGTTAGTAGACAAGTTGGTAGAAAAGTTAGTAGACAAGTTAGTAAACAAGTTAGTAGACAATACAGTAGACAATACAGTAGACAATACAGTAGACAATACAGTAGACAATACAGTAGACAATACAGTAGACAATACAGTAGACAATACAGTAGACAATACAGTAGACAATACAGTAGACAATACAGTAGACAATACAGTAGACAATACAGTAGACAATACAGTAGACAATACAGTAGACACTAGACACGTTAGTAATTATCATAATTCCGATCTCAACACGGTCAAAGGAAATAAGGTAAGCTTTAAGCAGTCAAATCATGAGATAATTATTAATTATCGGTTAATGTTAATAATATTTTGAGTTTATTACTCTATTGATCACATTCTGTTTGAGCTGAAGAGCTTAATCATGTCAATCATCTAGCAACACTAGTAACATATAGCAACATAATATCAAAAGTTTACAAAATACTTAAATACTACGAAATGTACAAAACTATAAATTTTACGCTTTCAACTTCCCAAATCATCGCCTCTCCTTCCACTGAAAAGCATCTCGATCAGTCCTTTTGAATTTTAGGAAAGGTCTGGAGTGAAGCACTATTTGTTTCTTGGGCATTTTTCCAGAGTCTTCTTTCCTTAAACCTGAAATTTCCTTCAATTGCCTTCTGTTTTGTGTGCCGGTAGATAGTTTCCATGGACTAACGGTAGATGGTACAGTTTCTTTCTGCAACTTTGACTGAACAGCTTCGTTCGATTTTTTGTACGAACTAAAAGGTGATACTACAGTGTCATTTCTCCGGCCTGATTTTTGTTTGTGGCGAGTAGAGGGTTTAGTGTTGGAGCAAAGAGACTTGATGGTTTCTGCTTTTTCACTGGTCAGGAAAACATTGAACTCCTTTTTAAATATGTCAGATGTTTCCGAGTATAGAAGGTCACTGTACGACTGGTGCTCCTCATGCCCACCAGTACTCTTTTTAACGCTTTTGGCAATCTGAGTTTTAGATGCTTTTCTTCGAGTTATTCCATTAGCTTTACTAGAGGTTCTCGTAAATTTGTTATTAGACTCCTTCAACTGGACAAATCTCCTTTGGTTATAAAGAGGCTTTGCTTGAACTGGTTTTCTGTTAACTCTCTGTACAGCACTGCTGAAAGGATACCTTAAATCCGGCTGTGTGTCTGGAGGAGCAGACCTCCTCTCTGAGAGGTTATTTACCCTAGTACTAGAGGAGTTATTGTGGTTTATTTTAGCGTGGTTTGGCAACACGTTCATTGTCATGAATGACGGATCTTCTTTAGCATTGTCGTCAGTACACCCTAACGGTTCTTTCACTTCAGCATTTTTTTCCTTTAAAGAAACTGATGTGGTATCACCATTCAACTGAATAACAGGGCTAATGAGACAGTTCGAAGCTTTTAACTCTGTACCTTGGTTAGATTGTTGTGGTAAATTAGGATTTAGTGAGGAATGTGGAGGATCCCTTTGCACAGTGGTTGATGCCCATTCTAAGGTTTTGGGTGAATCACTTAAGCCTGTAGTACACCCTGATATACAGCTGAAAGGAACTTCATCCGATTTCTGCTGTCCCCTGCTGCTCATCGTTGTTTCCACCGTTATATTATTATCACTTTCATCGCAATATTTGTTATAACTGTTCTCGTTAGATACAGATGTGCCAACACTCTTCTCACTACACCCTGACAAAGGAGACAGACTATCAGTACTATTACCCGAAATCTCAGTAGGGATGGTCTGCTCAGAGGCTTTTAGCTCAGTCTTTGGAATTGGAGCAGAAACAGATCGACGAGATATAGTCTTCGCAGTTTTGGTACTTTCAACAGATAAAAGGGACATCTTGTTTACAAGTTGGTGCTGAGAAGATTTTCTGATGACGCTGTTTGGTAAACACACAGACTCAGGCGGTTTGTAGTTCTTCTCCGTGGCCATCTCACGGAAGTTTCTTGTGCTTGCCCAAGTTTTGCTTTCTGTCTCCGAAGCACTGCTCTCTGAAGAACTACAATCGTCATCCGAGTTTTTAGTTTTATTCCACCCTGCCAATTTAATGACTTGTTTCAATGACTCCAATATATCTCCAGGGACGAAGATGTCATTTTTCCGACGTGAATCAGCAAATGGTCCAACAGCATCCCTGTTGAGTAGAACTCTGGGACATTTTCTGGGTACAGCATCAACCAATTCCGAGAAAGGTTCAACATTCAATGATGTTCCCATGATAATCAAAAGATCACATTTTTGAAAATCTTTCGGGTAAAGATAAAACTTTTTAGGAAGTTCTTCACCAAACATGACGACATCCGGTTTAACATATCCAGAGCAACTCTTTCTTCGACATGATGGCACTTTGTGTGCTAAAATCATCTTTTCAGTCCAAGATGGAGAGTGAGGAGCAAAACACTTACAGCAAGAAGCTGACTCCAGAGTGCCGTGAGCCTCAACTAGCTTAGTGGAGGATATACCACATTTCTTTTCCAAGCCATCAATATTTTGTGTGTACATTCGCAACAGCACTCCATGTGACTCCAACGTTTTACAGAATTTATGAATAGAGTTGGGCTGTTTTTCACTCCTAATAAAATCACGGATAATATCTAAAAAAGGGTTGGGATTTCGGTTGAAATATTTCAAGTCAAAAACATCAGTAGGATTAGAAACGTTATACTTCTTGGTATTGTAGTAAAGTCCGGTGCCAGGAGACCTGAAGTCTGGTATTCCACTGGCAGTAGAGATGCCTGCACCAGCCATTATAATTATATCCTTGCACTTTCTGTTCTTAAGGAATGAAGCAAACCGTTGAAGTGGGTCTGTGTAAGTACATGACTTCTTGGAGACTTGGCTTGATGTAGTTGAAATGCTGCCGTTCTGAAAAAAAAACATCATTAAGGACAATACCAATATATATGTAATTTATCAATACTGTATGATTAATCGAATCCAAAGATACATGTAACCCATTTTTAACTTGAATGGATGGATAAATAACAGACTATGAATAATTATTGTGTATTTTATACCTAAGTATTGGTAAAAAAGTGAAACAAGGTAAATAACTGGTGAAAACTAAATAAAACAAATCGACGTTCCGGCACTAATCAGCCTTTTACTAAGATTAGTAAGCCGTGATGCTCAAATTGAAGGCGACTCCCAGCAATTAAAAATACCAATGCTTGTGGTTGCTCGTTCCCTAAAAGTAACAGCAGCTATTTATCATTGTTTATTATTGACTGCTGTTGTTGTCTAGCTCCTGTCTACGGACAAGAACCAAAGTGGTGCTAATTTCCACTTCATATAAATCTTACAAACAAAATTTCATCTTACTCGTTTTCCAGATTTTATTCTTTCAAGGTGACATCCATTCTTCATTGGATCATTTAGCAAATTTTTTGAATATGGATGCTGGTATGGAGGCATCACATTTTCAACCACTATTTGCTTCCCTAAAATATTTAGATGAAAATGTGTGAAAACAATTTAAATCTATTTCTAACTACAAAACTGATTGATTGTTTGGATCCTGTGCCAGTTCTAATGACTGATTTACAAAAGATATAATTACTTGATAAATGATATAAAAACCTTGTTAAACTTAGCAGAATAAATAAACATTAAAATAAATTAGTTCAAAGAAATTTAGTTTTTGTTCTGCGATTTTCAATTTTTTGCTGCAATAAATGATTTCACCGTTCCAAAAGTTTCTCTGAACAGAATAAGTTCATGTAAATTCCGGATTGGATTATTATTTATGAGTCGTATAGTTGATATGTTTTCTTGGGTAAATTTCTATTGATCCTGTTTGATGCAAAAAGGAAAAGGCTCTTATCTCATTTATGATCTCAAATTATTCTACTTTCACTGCAGAGAACTTTAAGAAAGTAGTTCAGAATGTGGTAGCTGAAGAGGATCACAGCAGAAATGTGTTGATTTTTGGTCTCAAGGAGGATGCAGGAGAGAAACTTGGTGATCAAATTTGCGATGTGTTTGAACAAATGGCAGAGAAGCCACGTTTTGAAGCTGCTCGAATTGGGAATAAAGCTGCTGAAAAACATAGAGCTGTCAAAGTATCATTTGGAAGCTCTAGCACCGTTCATCAGATACTGATTAAAGCTAAAGAACTCAGACTGTCTCAGTGTTTTAAAACTGTTTTTATTCCACCGGAGCTGTCGCCGGAGGAGCGTGCAGTACATAGACAGTTGGTTCTAGATTTTTTGTTTAACTGATTTAATAAAATAGATATTACTTTTTTTTGGACATTTTATATGAACTCCTACACTTTACATTTACTGGAAATATACATGCATTCTGGAGATTAATTATATTTATAACGTTTTATCAAAAAATATCAATCACAACCAAAGTTATGGATAGTTATAGTGTGAGCGTTAATGTGAGCTAGTCATGACATATCATAAAGCATGAAAACGCAGCGCCGTTAATCGGTGGTTGCTCGTGCACATGCAATATTCTAGATTGCTAAGCAACGACGCAGTCAAACAGTGATGAAACAGCGTAATTATTCTAACGTTAATTTGACCTCACTTCCGATAAAAAATCTAAAGCCTAAATAAAAATTTTATGAATCTCCTATTCCTGTCCTTTCTCTACAACCCTGCTAAAAATTGCGATGCTCCAACTCCATTTGCAAGCTAAAATTGGTCCGGAAGAAGGGTCAGTTTTCGGTAAATTTGCAGCGTTGCCAGGGGATTTTGTGAAGTTTAAAATATAGTATTGTATAGATAAGTTGAGAATAATTTTTTTAAATATAAAATTTTTCAAACAGTATACACATAATGTCACAATGACCCTATATAGAAAGAAAAAAATAAACCCTTCAACAACTCAAAGTTTTGAAAATCACCCTTGGCCTTGCGGCTCCAAGTTCAAATCTAAACTGTTTATATTGACAAAGTTCTTTCACGTTGAGAATAATTTACAAAATATCATTGCACTAAATAAAAAAATAATTTAAATAAATATATTTTTCCATCAACATTAATAATTTATCAAATTCAATTTTATTAATTAATAAAATCTAATACATTATCTATAAATAATTCATTAATACTTCCCAGTGGAATAAAGATTTATGAAACGCTTCTTTGCCACAAAAGGATGAAACCAAAGATATTCATTATGTGTCTCCTTATTGCTTAAATAACTGGGTCCTTCAATTTTCCCTAAAACTTCATTCGAAACATTCCAAAAATAAAAATCATTTACACTGTTTTTAGAAATCATTTCTTTCTTAAATCCTTCCAATCTAACTTTAAAGCTTAAAACTGTCGAGCAGTTCTTGACATCTGAAGGGAGTTTGTTCCAGTAAGGAATGACTCGCTCCGGAAGAAAAGAAGACTGGAGATTCTTAACTTTAGTTACACTCTTATTACACCTATTGGTTGAAACTAGATTAAGACCAGATCTGCTCATTCTGAACAAACCCGATCCATATTCAGTCAAACCACTAGTTACTTTAAAAGCTTTGATAAGGTCCCCACGTATTCGCCGCTCTGCCAGCGTTGTCAAATTGAGGATATCCAGTCTGCAGCTGTATGGAAGAGTACCCACCTCATCAATAAGACGGGTAAACCGCCTCTGGACGCTCTCCAGCTCCAAAACAGTCCCCCAACTTCCATGAGCCGCAACTGGATTCCACAATTGGACACAATACTCAAGATGAGGTCTTATCAAAGCTTTATAAATAGCTATCATTACAACCTTTTCTCTAATAACTAAGTTCCTTACAATCCAGCAGATCATACGATTTGCTTTAGAAATACATGCTTTTATCTGTTCATTCCAAAGCAAGGAGCTATGGGTAATAACCCCCAAATCTTTTTCCTGTGCAGATACTTCTAGTTCTACTCCATTTACAATATAATTCGAGTTAGGATTATTATTCAGATTAATATGGACTACTTTACACTTGGCAGGATTGAAGTTTAAGTGCCAAATACTCTCCCAAATTTCGAGTTCTAAAATATCATCAGATACACTTCTATGGTTAGCTGCATTACAGACTAACTTGAGATCATCTGCAAATAATTTAATCTTATTTTTAACATTGTCAGGTAAATCGTTTATATAAAGAATAAATAGCAAAGGACCCAATACTGACCCCTGGGGAACACCAGATAACACGTGTTTCACCTCAGACCATTGTCCTTCTACACAAACCCTCATGATTCTGTCTGTCAGAAAGTCTTTTATAACATCTAAAACTTAAGGGATCAGATTTAACACCCTTTTTGAACAATGCTACAACAGATGCTGTCTTCCAAATGTCAGGCAGGACTCCTGTTTCTGAACACTTAACAAATAATTTAGTTACAGCTTCAACAAACTTTTCATCGTATGCTAAGGATTTCAACAACTTTGGATGAACGCCATCCGGACCAGAACTTTTAAAAACATTAAGCTTTAAAAGCTGCTTCTTGATATCAGAACTGCTAATTTCCATATCATCAATAACCTCTTTGTTATAACTCTCATTTTGGGGAAGAGGGCCAGGTGGTTCACGCACAAACACAGAACTAAAGGCACTAGCAAGTACCTCAGCTGACTCAGATGAACTATCTGTGCGTGTACCATCTCCTCTATCTAAAGAAACAACACTTGACTTAACTTGACGTTTATTACGCAAATACGAGTAAAAAGATTCACAATTCTGTTTTAAATTAGATGTAATCTTCTTTTCATAATTTACTTTAGCTTTAATTTCTGCCACCTCAAAAATACGCTGCTTGCTATTTGCACAGCTAAAGTTAATATCCGAAGGATTAATATCAAATTCAGCCCATGTTCTTACTCATTCTTTTAAGTGAAGTTGTACTCCATGGCAACTTGACAGGTCTGTTGTCGAGATAAACCGAAGCAGCTGGGACAGCTGCAGCAACAGACTCCAATTTACCATGTAGTTCAACCCACATATCTTGAACATTATTTGTACAACTATAATCCCAGTCAATATTATTGACTTCAGTGAAAGAGCTGTGACCTAGTGAAAGTGCTGGTGACGATGAGAAAGACCATAAACCAGGGATTCCTTCGGGAGCATGTAAGATTATATCCAAAGTTTGTTCGCCAATGGGGTGTGTCTGGGTGTCAAAGATCTTCAAGGTGGGTGCTACTTGTGATGAACTCTAGAAGGATGGGATGGTAATACTCGGTCTGGCCGTCTGGAAGCCCATAGAATTCCAGTTCAGAAACCGAGTAAGGAGGTGCGGCTACTGATGAGAAGCCTCCTTAAAGTTTATTTGGGTTAGAAACGACATCTGGGTCCCTACCCTCGCACAAGATTATTCTCAATTTTCTTGTTGTGTCCACAACTATACCGTTGATCAGAGTCACATCTGATGACTTCAGTGAAAGGGCTGATGACTTCAGTGAAAGAGCTGGTGACCTAGTGAAAGTGCTGGTGACGATGAGAAAGACCATAAACCAGGGATTCCTTCGGGAGCATGTAAGATTATATCCAAAGTTTGTTCGCCAATGGGGTGTGTCTGGGTGTCAAAGATCTTCAAGGTGGGTGCTACTTGTGATGAACTCTAGAAGGATGGGATGGTAATACTCGGTCTGGCCGTCTGGAAGCCCATAGAATTCCAGTTCAGAAACCGAGTAAGGAGGTGCGGCTACTGATGAGAAGCCTCCTTAAAGTTTATTTGGGTTAGAAACGACATCTGGGTCCCTACCCTCGCACAAGATTATTCTCAATTTTCTTGTTGTGTCCACAACTATACCGTTGATCAGAGTCACATCTGATGACTTCAGTGAAAGGGCTGATGACTTCAGTGAAAGAGCTGGTGACCTAGTGAAAGTGCTGGTGACGATGAGAAAGACCATAAACCAGGGATTCCTTCGGGAGCATGTAAGATTATATCCAAAGTTTGTTCGCCAATGGGGTGTGTCTGGGTGTCAAAGATCTTCAAGGTGGGTGCTACTTGTGATGAACTCTAGAAGGATGGGATGGTAATACTCGGTCTGGCCGTCTGGAAGCCCATAGAATTCCAGTTCAGAAACCGAGTAAGGAGGTGCGGCTACTGATGAGAAGCCTCCTTAAAGTTTATTTGGGTTAGAAACGACATCTTGGTCCCTACCCTCGCACAAGATTATTCTCAATTTTCTTGTTGTGTCCACAACTATACCGTTGATCAGAGTCACATCTGATGACTTCAGTGAAAGGGCTGATGACTTCAGTGAAAGAGCTGGTGACCTAGTGAAAGTGCTGGTGACGATGAGAAAGACCATAAACCAGGGATTCCTTCGGGAGCATGTAAGATTATATCCAAAGTTTGTTCGCCAATGGGGTGTGTCTGGGTGTCAAAGATCTTCAAGGTGGGTGCTACTTGTGATGAACTCTAGAAGGATGGGATGGTAATACTCGGTCTGGCCGTCTGGAAGCCCATAGAATTCCAGTTCAGAAACCGAGTAAGGAGGTGCGGCTACTGA